GGCCTGTTCGGGCCTTTTGGAGCCTTGTGGGGGCCTCGTGGGCCGTCTTGGGTCGCTCTTGCGCCGTCTGGCCCCTTCGGAGGCCGCCATGGGGTCTCTCGGGACGGCCTTCTGGCTCTCTTGGGGTTCTCTTGGGCTGTTTTGGAGGCCTCTTGGGCCGTATTGGGGGGCTGCACTCCAGGGCCGTCCTGGGGCCCTCTTGGAGGGGCATCTGGGGCCGTTTTGAAGCCATCTTGGAGGCTGCTTCGGGCGTCGTGGGCTCCCCCCCGAGAATCGAAGTAGGTGGGAGGGCGAACACCCTGCAACGCCCATGTGAAAATTAATGTTTTTGGCCTCTGGAGGAGCTCTTGGGGGCCCCCTTGGAGCCCGCTGGGGCCGTCTTGTGGGTCTCTGGGGCCCTCTTGGGCATCTTGGGCCGTCTTGGGCTATCTGCCGTGTTGGGCCGTTTGGAGGCCCTTCTGGACCCCCAGGAGGCCCGAGATACCAACATCGCACACACAGCACACACACAGCACACACACACAGCACACACAGCACACACACAACACACACACAACACACCACATAAAACACAACACACAACACACAGCACACAACACACAACACACAACACCTAGCACACCACACGCACCACACACAACTCACAACCCACACACCACACAACACACAACATACACCACACAACACACAACACACAACACACCACCCACACACCACACACAACACACACAGCACACAACACACAGCACACAGCACACAGAGCACACACAACAACACACAACACACAACACAGACAGCATACACACAACACACGCCACACAACACATAACACACAACAGTCAACACAAAGCACACAACACACGCCACGCATCACCCAGCACACAACATACACAACGCACAGCACACAAGACACAACGCACAACACAGAACACACAGCACACAACCCACACTACACACCACACAACACACAGCACACAACACACAACACACAACACGCAACACACATAACACAACACACAAGGCACACCGTACAGCACACAACACACAATACACACGACACACGTAAGACACAGCACACAACACACACCACACAACACACAACACACACCACCCAACACACAACCCTCAACCCACAACCCACACCACACACCGCACACCACAACACAACACACACACACCACACACCGCACAAAACACAGCACACACCACACATAATACACAACACACAGCCCACCGCATACAGCACAGAACACACAACACACAGCACACAGCACACAGCACACACCAGACAACACGCACCACACACCTCACAACACAACACACACACCACACAACACACAACCCACAACACACGCCCCACACCTCACACCACACAACACACAACACACAACGCACACCACCCACCACACACCACACAAAACACAACACACAACACACAACACACAACACACAGCACACAACACAACACACAACACACAACACACAACCACAGAACACACAGCACACACACACACACCACACAACACACGACGCACGACGTACAGCACACAGCACATAACACACAGCACGCACCACACAACATACACACGCACACACGCACACACACACACACGCACGCACGCACACACGCACGCACACACACACACCCACGCACCCACGCACACACGCACGCACGCACGGACGCATCCGCGCACGCACGCACGCACGCACGCGAGCACCTACGCACGCACGCACGCACGCACGCAGGCTCGCACGCACACACATACACACTACACACCACACACAAACACACAAACACAGATACACAAACACGTACACACGCACGCACACCCACACACAGACAAACACACAAACACGCACCCGTCCACACAGACACAACCGCACTTTTTGCGTCGGCGGCTAGGCAGAGAGACTGCGCTGGCGAGTAAAGCAAAACGGGGCGCGCTAGGCGAATTCAACCACCATGCAGAGACACAAACACAAACACAAACACACACTCACGCACGTACGCACGCACGCACACGCACACGTACACGCACACACACAAGCACACACACACCCACCCACCCACCCACCCACCCACACACCCAAACACACACACACCCACACACACACCCACGCACACACAGACACCCACACGAACACACCCGCGCACACACACACAAACACACGCACGCACGCACGGACACGCAACCGCACACGCACACGCACACACACGCACACGCACACGCACACACCCACACACACACCCACGCACCCAGACGTTTGCGTCGCCGGCTAGGCAGAGTGGCTGCGCTGGCAGAACACCTCACACCCACACACGCATTCACACACATTCACACACACACACACACTTACACACATTCACACACATTCATACACATATCCACACACAAACACAGACGCACCGCACAAACATACACCCACACACACCCACACACCCACACGCACACGGACACAGGCACAGACATCGACACAGACACAGACACAGACACAGACACAGACATAGACACAGACACTTACACAGACACAGACGCAGACACAGACACTGACACAGACACAGACACAGTCACTGACACAGACACAGACACAGGCACAGACACTGACACAGACACAGACACGGACACAGAAACAGGCACAGACATAGACACAAACACAGACACAGACACACGCAGGCACACACGCACACGCACACACATCATTCATACACACATCCACACACATTCACACGCATACACACACGCACACAACACAACACAACACAACACAACACAACACAACACAACACAACACAACACAACACAACACAACACAACAGAACACAACGCAAGACAAGACAAGACAAGACAAGACAACACAAGACAAGACAAGACAAGATAAGACAAGACAAGACAAGACAAGACAAGACAACACAACACAACACACCACAACACACACAACACAACACAACACAACACAAGACATCACAACACACCACAACACACCACAACACATACACACACACGCACGCACACACACGGACACGCACACACGCATACAAAACCACACACACACACACGACACACAAACACACACACACGCACGCACGCACGCACGCACACAGTGTCACTGTGTTTGTGTGTGTGTGTGCGTGTGTGTGTGTGTGCCAATTTTGGCTTGTCTGGGCCCTCGGGGGGATCCTCTGGGTGCTTTCGAGTGGCGGCATGGAGGCTTCGAGAGTTGTCTTGGAGCTATTTCTGGACAACTGGATGCCATCGGGGATCGTCGATGTGCCCTTGAGAGGCATGCCGAAACCGTGCAGGCCGTCCAGGACCATCTCTGAGGCGGCCGTGGCCGCTGGCACACTTCGCATATTCCCCCTCCCTCCAAACTGGCTGGACGGCCCCCCCCCGGGGAAGCGTTTGTCAGACGGGGCTAGGACGAGGGTAAATCCGTTCAGAGCGTTCCGGAACGCTCTCAGAGCGTTCCGGAACGCTCTGAGAAGGCCGCGGCGCCCGAGACATCCTCCAGATCTGCCGGATCTCAGAGATTCTCGATTATCTTTACCCGACTTTCTCTTCGTCCTGGCTTCGTCTTAGTTTGGGGAGGGACAGCAGTCCTCAAGGGGTCGGCTGGTTCTACGGGGCTCTCCCGACGAGGCTCGGTGAAGCCGTCGTCTCCTATGGGCCTGAGCCCCCCCCCCGTGCTCCTTGGGAGCTTGCTGAGGGTTCCGAGGGCTTTCTTGAGCCGTTCTGGGCGGGTCTCGGGGCATCTTGCGGCCGTCTTGGGCCGATCTCGGGGGATCGCCGGGCCGGCTTGGGGCTACTAGACGTAAGGGTGACCTTTCACCGGAGTGACTTTTGGTGCGGGCCCAATGGGGCGGCCCAATGGGGCCCCCCCATCGCTTAGCGCGAAGCGGCAGCGGCGGCCTGCGCGCTTGGTTATGGCCCCTTCGTCTCCGCTCTAAAGCCGGTCACCAAAGGTCACTCTTGCCTAGTGTCACTCTTGCGTGTGACCGACTGGGGCTGTAGGGAGCGCAAGTGAGCAAAGTAAGTCTGCGATGAAGGGGGTGGATCGCCCCTGGAACTGCAGACGCCCTACGATACAGACGGTAGGCATTTTCATGTTCCCCAAGCATGCCGAGGGCGCGGGGGCGGATTACGCTCGCTACGACTACGAGGGGGTTGACAAGGCCAAGGCCGAGGAGATGATGAAGGGGATGGCGGACAAGGCTGGCACGCTCGCCGGCATGGAGATCGGCGGCATGAAAATCGCCAAGAACGACGTTTTCGAGTACGTCGATCCTGTTGACGGGAGCGTATCCAAGAACCAGGGAATCAGGCTCTCTTTTTCAAGGAGAGGATGCAGGAGTAGGATGATGCGGAGCAGGAGGAAGAGAAGGATGAGGATGAGGAGGAGGAGGAGTAATTAGGGAAGGGGGAGGGAGATGGGAGTCTATTAGTACGTCGATATAACGATGTTATCATGACAGTTAACACCTGAAGACGGGCTGCCCGTTTCGCAGCACTCTGAGATTATTGGGGAACGGTTCCAGAGAAAAGCGATTCGGGTTCCTGTTCTTCGTACGGTGCAGCGGAGCAGTTCGTTTGCTTATAGTTCATGAGGCCTGAGTGCAAAGCTTCTTGGCTACAGGAATCGCAAGCTTTACGTTTCCGTGCGCCATGCATCTGGTGGCATCGAAGGCGATCCTGTGGTTGAGCGCACCCCCCCCCAAGCAATGTGTAGCGTTTGCCCCTGTGGTGCCTGGCATTAACGCTTACAAGTTGTAAGCATGATTATTCAGACCAGTCACGACGTCCCGGTCTTGCCGAGCTGCTGAACTATCTAAGGATTGTGCCCATAAGGTCGGGAACTTTTGGATAGCGTGCCGCTCCGCCGATTCTGGGGCCCCCCCGCGCTTCGGCGCGACACGCTGTCCGTTTCCCGTCTCTCGTCGACCGACAGCTCGGAGGTTTTCCCAGCCTCCCGCCGCACGAAGCGCAGCGACAAGCTGTCCGCTTGGACGGCTTGTCATTTGCGACGTATTTTAGAGCAATTGGGAGTAGCCCGTGCCGACAAACGAGAAACACTTCGTTCAGCGCATCAGCCAGTCGTGCCAGTCGACTCTGAGGGAACCAACTCCGTTCTGCGCAACCCTTCCCCAAGGCGCCAGCCACCAGACTGTCCACGTGGAGCCAGTCCAATATTTGTCGCGCCGCGGCTCAGGCGCAAAGCGGGAGGGCACCTGTTGCCAGAAGTATCGCCGAAACCAATATTATGTTGTCGCACCGTACATGCTTCATCATCGCTGGTGGGCTAGCCCATGTCCATGATAAGAAATTGAGCCCACGCAGCCAGACGCAGTTATCGACATCGACTTGGGTCATGATGGCCGCGGGTATCATCTCGTCGAAGTCAGCGAACATTTTAGAATTCTGGTTCGTAGACCCTGTCTACACAAGTTGCAAGACAGTCTCAGAGGCAGATTCGTACCCTACTCCAATTTTGGGACTTCATAAACATGCTTGGAATTTTCGAGTCTGAGTCCACCGTCTTTGCTTTTCCTCCTCCTCCTACCCTCTCTTCCCTCTGGGATCGGAGACCGCCTGTCCGCGCACGGAGGGGTCCGCAGGGTGTCCTGCGACCACGGACGGCGCTTCTGGCGGTTTGCTGCGTGGAGCCTTGACGCGCAGAAGCTGCCGCCGGTTGCACTGCTCACTCCCCTCTCTCTTAGGCAAGCTGCGAGGCACACACCTGCAGCGTAAGAGTACCCCCTCCCCTTCCCCCTCATCTCTTCCGGTGCCGCGCGGTCTGTTCAGACTCTAGAGCAGTTGGCTCGTGGCCAGGCCCCTCGGCGTGAGCACGCCGTTTCCCCTTTCTCTTGACGTCTTCCACAATTCAACAGGAGCTCTGCTACCTCACGCCCACGATGCGCATGCCGAGCACGGGATGATAACGAGCGAAGTAAGTCGTAGTCAAGGCCTTTACCCAACCCAGTGCCACAGACCCTCGGGCAGTTCACAGGCTGGGGAGCGATGCTGACGTCAGGGTAATCATTTTGCCCAAAACAGTCCTTGCACTTACGTAAGGATTCTTATGTGTTTTCTAAGGAGCTGGCCTCGTTTGTCTTGTTGCCGCCGTCGCCGCCCCGTCGCCACCTCGTCGCCTCCCGTTGTCTGGGCTCGTTTGTCGTGTCCGCCGCCTTGTTGCCGCCCCGTCGCCGCCCCGTCGCCGTTCGTCGTCTGGCCTCGTTTGTCGTGTCCGCCGCCTTGTCGCCCCCGTCGCCGCCCTGTCGCCGCCTCGTCGCCGCCCGTCGTCGGGCCTCGTTTGTCGGGTCCGCAGCCTTGTTGCCGCCGTCGCCGCCCCATCGCCACCTCGTCGCCGCCCGTTGTCTGGGCTCGTTTGTCGGGTCCGCCGCCTTGTTGCCGCCCCGTCGCCTCCTCGTTGCCGCAACAAGGACCGCACTACACGTATTGCGCCACATAGATTGCACAACATAGATTGCGCAACATATCTTGTTGCCGCCCCGTCGCCGCCTCGTTGCCGCAACACGGATTTCACTACATGTATTGCACCACATCGAATTCTCCATATCTATCTGTGTACGTCTAGTGCGCACCATAAACTGCGCACCACTTAGACTGCACCCTATATATTGCACAGTGCGTATTACACCACAGATATGACACCAAACATGTTGTTGCACATCATACATACTAGATCCCGCAGCATCGATTGCACAACCTACCGTGCACCACATGTGTTGCACCACGAAGAATATTCCACTGATGTGGCATACTAGATATGGTACCACATATGTTGCACCGTACTTTGCATTGCACATGTTTCGCGGCATAGATTTCACAGCATAGGTTGCAGACCATTGCACGCCATACATTCCACAACATGTGTTGCACCGTATCTTTTGCAATGCGTAGGTTGCATAGGTTGTACAGTATTAGATTTCGCACATATATTGTACCACATCGGTTGCACTACATAGCTTGCACCACCTCGATTGCACAGCGTAGCTTGCACAACACATCGTGCCAGAAACACACTGTTTGGGATTCACGCTGGCTTACACTGTTCAGCCCATGTCCAGGTGGGGCGATGATGATCTGGGGTCTCACCATGCATTCAAGATCAAAAGGAAGGCCACCATCGATGGTGTCTGACCGTGGGCGTACCGCACATGACCTCGAAGAGGTGTGGCCAGACCATGCGAACTCCACTCCATGATGAGGATACTGCGCCCAGGTGGCCATGAGGCCTCCATGACCTGGGTGTTTGCCTGCCGCGCGTGAGTCGAGTAAAGCGGTGGAACACCAACTGCGTTGCTGTGCGGCCGCTATAAAACCAAGCTGGCACCGAAAAAGTAATAGCTGCGAGCCAGAGACATCGTGCACCTGATGAGCACATGTTGCTAAGGCCTCTGGACCTGTAAGCTTGACCCCTGGTTGACATTGTACCAACTGGAGGTGAAAGCTGACTTCTTGAGGCTACCAGTATAACCTTGAT